CGTAATTTCTGCCCTTCCAACTTTCCTCCCATTTGCAATTCCTCTGGTACTCTTGTTTGTAATCCCCACGAAAAAAGCAGAGGTCTTCGTTTCCCGGTTTGCCTCCAACTCCACCTTATCTGACACCTCTTTTGTTCAACCCTCCTCCTACACATCCAGTCACTCCTTTCTACCTATCATAAAAATCAGAAAGGTCCGCCAAGCTCTTCATGGTTTGGATATTTGTAAACCACCGGTCCGGACGGTATCTCACTTGTCCTAAAAATGTGTGCCCCGGAGTCAGCCCCTGTTCTACGCCGCCTTTTCTGTTATTCACTCGAACTCAAATCTTTCCCCACTCCATGGAAAAATGCCATCATTTTTCCAATCCCAAAGCGCGGCGACCCTTCCGATCCCGACAACTACCGTCCAATTACTCTCATATCTGTAATTTCGATAGCATTTGAAACCATTATCTCCGACCAGTTGCGTGCGTTTCTTGGACGCGAAGGTTTGTTAAATGACCGTCAGTATGGATTTCGCCCTCGTCGATCTACGGGTGACTTAGTGGCGCTCACAGCACATTACTGGTCGGCTGCACTCGATAACTAGGGAGAAACTCACACGGTCTCACTCGACATTTCAAAGACCTTCTACCGCGTTTGGCATGAAGGTCTGCTGTCGAAATTACCCACGTTCGGATTCCACCCGTCTTTGCTATCGTGGTTTCGTTGTTTCCTCAGCAAGCGAACCATCTCCGTCCAAGTAGATGGGGTCCTATCTCGGCCATTTCCTGTAAACGCCGGTGTTACCCAAGGTTCCATACTTCCACCCACCCTGTTTCTTTTAGTTATTAACGATCTTTTATCCCAAACATCTAATCCCACCCACTGCTTTGCCGATGATGCCACTATCCATTGTTCCTTTCTTACCCCACACCCCGTCAAGCTAATACCAACATCAATCACGATTGTGATGTCATTAGCGCTTCTCTTGCCTCCGATCTCGGACTAATCTCCGAGTGGAGTTCTATCAACCATGTGTTTCAATGCTACCAAAACTTCTCTCCTCTCAGTCTCTTTTCCCCTCGATTGACTTTTTAACATCTGCCCCTTCGTTCCACAAATTCTCTTTTCCTCCTGGGGTTATTCATAAATTCTTCTCTCTGTTGTTCCCCTTTTGTTTCTACACTTGCCTCTCGCGGCCCGCGCAAAGTCGGCTTTCTACTCCGCACAAGATGTTTCTTTACAAACCAACATTTTCAAATCCGCCCGATGCTTGAACACTGTAGTCACCTATGGGCTGGGGCTTCGTATTCCATTCATTCTCTCCTCGACAGTGTTCAACGTAAGGCCATCCGGCTGATCGACGAAACGTCTTTAACTTCCGCATTGCAGTCGCTTTCCCATCGCTGGGCAGTTGCTTCGTTATCTCTTTTCTATCGTTACTATTTTGGTTTTTTCTCTTCTGAAGTCGCTTCAGCGGTTCCCCTTCCATTGACCTTTTCTCTTCCATCCCGTTTTCAGGCGGACAGTCACTCTTATCAGGTTTCTGTCCCCAGATGTCGGACTTCTTTCTTTCAATCTTCGTATTTCCCGACGACTGCAAAATTGTGGAACACTCTTCCCATTTCCGCGTTCCCCAGCTTTCATAACCTCACCCTTTTCAAAAGTAGGATTAACAAATTGATTCTTACTTGAATGTTCCTCCACATACCTCCCCCTTACAGTATATCGTTGATTATGGGGTTTACCCCTTTTGCTTTAAATCACTTCGTGTGTAATATAAGTGTGGCAATCAGTCACAAGACGGACATGGTCAACGATTGAACGGAAAAGTCAAACCCTCTAATGGTGCCCCATGGAAAGGAGAGCAGGTTTGAGTGGGGTACTTACGGAGTCCGACGGACCATTTATTTATATTAAGCAACGCTGCCTCGCGTGATGGGCAGAACGTTTGAAGGCACTATTCAACTGGCCCCATCGATGCTAGACCGACCAACTTCTTCTTTAACTGAGAAAATACTACCAGTTGAGATGAGTCCTCCATCTGGAACGGTGGTTACTCGGGGGAACAATAACACCGGAAAGAGCGAAGGCTCCGATCCGGACGGGTTGTGGTCATCGGTTTGAAGTGTCAGCCTTAGCTCTGGAGATCATGGATCTCTTGGGTTCAACATGGGAAGAGATAACAAGTTCCAATTGAGTGGTGAGTCGGTCATCATACTGATGAACCAGATAGACAATAGATTCTCCTGTAAAAAAGCACGGGATCTTGATCAATTAACATCATCTCTAAACTTTTTGCTGACATTACATTCCGTCGATTGACTGCCGCATTTGAACGGCGCACGCGTGAGAATAAGGCTGATTTTAGACTCAATCTAGTTTCCATCGACCACACTTTTATTCCTTGCCAAATTCCATTCTTATATCCATAATTTCTGTCCTCCTCTCGCTGAAAGCGGACTCCGACTCAGTCAATTGCTCTATATTGTGACGCTGCCTCTGCTTGAAGGCTGTGTCCAGGAAGCCTATTTAAGTGTCACTATCCCTTTATATCAATACCCGGAACCGAGTTAGAATTCACGGAATTTCTTTGCCCGTGTTCAGGACAGAAAGCGGTACCTTCCCGTTTTCTATTCATCTGTTTAATTGGTCTGATTCTGAAAACCTCTTTCCTCGTCCAAGGAGGGCTGTATCGATTCGCCTCCGAATGACACTGATTTGGAGTATGCAGACGACATTGTATTACTAAGTGAAGATTCAAGTACGCCGCAAGCTGTTTCGAATGATTTGCGTGCTAGTGTAGCTGTTTGACATGCGTTTTTATTGCTGCAGGACTGAGATGACTCACTCCACCACCTCACCTCGACTTGGGAACTAGGAGAGAGTAGACAAATTTTCTTTCTCGGCAGCTTACCTCACCTGACTGAGGCTAGGCCCAGAGCCTCAGGTAATCACAGCCACTCACTGAAGCAAGTTATCGGTGTCCGTAGATCGTGTTGGTTGTCACGCTTGTCACCATGTAGACTGCCACATCATGCGACGTTTGCTGAACAAGTAGTGGGTGAAAAAATCCAAAGGCGGGCAAATTAACACCTGCTGGTAGACTCGGTCATGGAGGTCGCGTTAGGCTTCCCGAAATAGACCTCGGGGTCAGCGTAACAGATTGTTAAAGATACCGAGTGCTGTATGTACTTCTAACCAATCTATTGTCAACATTCGTCTTCCTACAATCTTTATTTTCATTTTGACACTACTTCAACTTTTCAATGTACCCTCTAATCTTCTTACTTAAATGAGCAGCTGAAACCCCAGCACGAAGTCGCAGATTACGCGTTATGAAAACTGGACAACAGGGATGTCGCGTGCCTTGAAAACCAGAGATCTTCCGACAAGAAACCGTGAACGCTATGTATTCACGTCGATCACTTATATGAACAACCATTCCAATTAGCCAAACTCCTAGCACACTACCCCGAGTAACTTTCCAGTGTATGACGGTAATGCAAGTAGAACTTGTCATATGCCACCAGCACAGCCCACGTGGATGTCAAGTGTCATTTCACTGACTATTGTTCAAAGGCCTACCAGCGGAAGTCGACCGACAGCAACGTCTATCCACTTATCCTTACACGAACTCGACAAACATACGAATAAACATGATGACAGACACGACTTCTGCCCCGCGGAAACCACTGATACTAATCCCGATGACCAGATCAGACCGAAACAACCCACGCGTGGCATTGGTGTGTTTAGCACCCCTGCGCACTGGCAACAAACTTTTATGACAACGGGGGAGACTATAACGATGTCAACATTCACTGTGCTTGACGGAACATTCCTACATTAACCAATCTACATCTCAGCCGCCATACTCATTACCATCCTCGTACAGTGAAGTTCACTTCACTGATCTCAGCCAAACACATGGGTGGATATGATGGATAGTGGTAACATGTAAGGCGAACAGGGATTATACCCATTTTGGAGTGGAAGAGCGAAACCCTGTGGTCAACACAGAATACGCAACCTAACTGTGCAGATACCGTTTCAAGACTTTCTGGCCTGATAAGAATTGACAAGAAAACCACTGATGTCAGTTAGTTACCATATCCTTTATTGTCTCCAACCATTTGCAGTCTTCCGAATCGGGAAGACGGGAGACACCTACTCTACCTAGTAGCTCTGTGAATTTCTTCATGCCTCGTTTTCACGTCATCTGTTGACTCCTGAGAGATTCTTTGTTTTCGGCGAACTTCAGGCCCGGTCCCTCATGCAAATTTGGCTTCAGTGTGCTTCGCGAACCTCATTGGACTCCACTATTGATCTACTCCGTGTCGCGATGCTCCTAGCCCCCGTCCCAGCTTCCCCTCATACCATGCACGCAGAGACGAATCACACAGACAATAATGACTCCACTGAGAATGGGATTCCTGTCGATGACCAGTGAGTGAATCGCATTCAAACAAGTGCATAATCCGAGTCAACGTTCGTGGTCCAATAGGATCTGCAATTTTGTACCGAGCCACGCCAGCAGTAGCAGAGATGTGGGCAATTCGGGTAAATTTCCGATCGACGAGAGCTGTCTAAAATTAGTGCCAGATAAGAACAACCAGCGAACTGCACAGCATAAGTAGTTCACCATCGTCGCCTGTTCGCTGGGCGAGCCGAACGAAGTGCTGCTAGACGGGCTTCGCACAATCCAGTTTTCCAGCCTGCGCGTTCAAAATCACCTGTTAGCGCTATATCACAGCTGCGACTGAACCGAATGAGTTCGTCGTAAAATTTCTCCTTTTGTGAAGTGCCACTTCAGTGAGTGCGTGCCGGAATGTAGACAAACATCTTTTGTGTTGCTGATCTTCCGAACACGAACGATTATTGATGGGCACCCAATTTATCGAGGAGGTTTCAGTTTTATCGATTAGTACGATTCCTACACCACGCTCACCCAGTGAGCGGGCTTCGTCTCCTAATGTACGGAGGAACCACTTCGAGGACACGCCCGGCGCACTTAATTGTCCTATGGTACTGAGATACCGAACTCGTGTATCCTTGCGCAGCAGACACCAACTTCCAAAAGCTTTACGACACGAGCAAGACACGTTTATTGACCACCCGCAGAGGAGGCCTCGCTTTGGAGGCTCTCAGTTCAAGTTCAAGAGGCTTCAGAATATGCAACTTATGCAGTGATAAATCACCTGCAGTGCTACTTGGCAACGACCATTCTTCTGTGTCAAACAAGTTGCTAGGGGACTGTCACCGGCTAGATGAGAACGGGAAAGACGCGAGTACAGAAGATAAACAACCAGTACTCACTCCGCTTGGTCCCGGGCGAGGAACGCTGCAGTACGGAATTATTTTTAGTTTAGGCCTTGGGATTTGGTGGACGGGTACTGCCAGTGTCCAGCCACTAAGCGGGGGAACGATTAGGGTTCTTAACCGGAGCCCTTGGTTCTCACGAGCACCTAAATAAGGCAGCGAATGATAAGGGGAGGCCCAATTACTTGGACTGATTACTCCACCGCACCTATGGTACACTACCCCAAGTCCCGGGGATTAGGTTACGGGTTCGCATCACTGAATAGCAAGTGCTCGTGAGCATGGGGTTTAACCCATCAGCTGTTCACCACACCAAGATGTAATTAAAGTCCTGACAGTACTGATGGACGGCAGAGTTCGACACGATTACACAGTTTAATATGGACATCGAGAGCAGAATACCAATGCAACCAACTACATGACGAAATGGGGCAGTAAACGTGTCACGGTAACCCGGGTTTTCTCTGGAGTTGCGGATTGCAGGCTCAATGTATCCTGACAGAAACACTCCTGATTCCCGTCACAAAGGCTCATACTCTTCTGAAACTCGAATGAACCGAGGAAAGGTTTGTTAAGTCGAGAACAACCGACAATGAACCGGGCACTCCATTGCCAAAGGCAGACCGATCTCAATCCTTTGCCGTGGCTTTGACAATAAAGCATCTTGTTCACCGTTTACGAATATTCTTGGCGTTCAGACTTATCCCTCAGTGCAGCTTGGTCTAATCCCTAACTACCGTATGAACATATCCAGTTAACACAACCAAACATCGAAAGCGATTAATGCTGCAGTAAGCAATTAACTATCCCACGCCATAACGACCCAAGGCGATCTACCATAGTCAACGACAAGAAACACCTACTCACTCGGATAATCAGTTTCCTGATTATACACAACCGAATTCCATCAAGTTCAAGACTGAAATTGGCTATGAAGACATCTCAAGCAATTTTTCCAAACATTGTTCTACCGATAAAACAGATGAAACCCTGAGGAATGCAATAGGCAACGCTAAAGGAGCACTAACTAGAACACCACACGGCTTACATGACCTCTGCAAGCAAATAGGCTTTATCGGCGTGCAGTTTTCATCCAATGGAAGGCGTGAAAAGTAAACGTTCGGGACTACCTGGTTGTACAAAAACGCAACTACCAACACGATTGCGATGATACACCGAAGAATATCTTTTAGATTTCACGCAACAGCAATTAAAACGATACTCCTTAAGATATCCATTCACTGGGTAAATATAATTCAAGTATTGTAATCTCGAATGATGCGGAAAAGGTGAACCATCCGAAGTTGTTTCCTCCGTTGAACATGTATCTTAAAAATGGGAACAAACGCTTGGACTACTCGATCAGAAGAGACCCCGGTTAGCGGTGCAACCCATAAAGCAGAGAAAAAGACAATACCTCACTCAATCTTTATTTTGATTGGATCAAGCTTTTGCGATAGGTTGAATCACTCGAAGGTTCTTGGCGTGGGCAATATTCTAAGCAGAAAGTGAAGACCGAATATTCGAGACCTACCATGCTCTGCAACATCTCCTGAGTAATAGGGCAGAGTTCGATGGAGAGAGTATCGTAGACGGACACTTCAGGAGTGTAGTTATCCCTGCGTTCCCGCTCCTCTTCTTGGAGCTTCACGCTGATGCCTCGTACGGGTCCCTTCTCGAAGCGTTTCATCAAATGCGTGACATAGCCAGCAATCTTGTTTCGTAAACGTTTGGAGTTGATGCATGCAATATCAGCGCAAACTTTCTTGTTGGTGTGAAAGTCCCGCGTCAAGCGAGAATAAAAACGCTCGATTATTAGCCGAGAGGCCTTCTTAACAGTTTTCGTACGGACACGACCCTAGATTGACATAGAAACCGATAATGAAGGAACCCTACCATCGCACGCTAAAATTTCTTGAACTGCGCGCCTGAGAAAAACTGAGTTGTGAGAAACAATGTGTCAACACATTAAAATCATACGCTTCGCCGAACAAATAAAAAAGCTTTATTACCTTGTGTCTCAAACGTTTCATAAACCCAATTGCTAAAGGCCAGTGCTGAGCATTGTTGACCATAACTGCAATTCAAATTCTATGAAACTGAAAAAGACAGACAACAATGTGCCAATAGGGTTATCTTAACAGTCCTCTGCCCTGAATATCAATTCATGTTTTTTCTGATTTTCCAGTTACGTACCCCACGAACAGAAAACGAAAACGATCAAGGATCCTGGACCATTGGGTGCCAGGCTCGAACCCGAGAGTCTTCAAGTCAATCTGGCGTTCGATGCTGGTGCGTTGTGGTCCCGGATCCTTGATGGCTCCTTGTTTTCTGTTCGAGGAGGATGCAACTGGAAGATTAGAAAAAATGGAGCGGTAAAACTTCGTCTTGATCGAGGGCAAGCGATGCCGGTTGATTGGGCAAAATTATTAGTAAGCGTAAAAATTTGCTATAAAAAGTGGGCAAAAGAATAAATACGTGAAAACACCATAACACATTTTTGATTCTTTAAAATCTCCTCTTTTTATTTGAAGGGGGACTAAAGAGGTGGCAATTGGACCTAGATACTTATCAAGTCGAGACTTGAATAACACTTTGCTTGTTGAAGTGTCTACCTTTTCTGGCAACGCGCTCCAGTTTGAAATTACCGTGAAAGTGAAGAACGATGTGCGCAGAGTGGTGTGGGGTTGAGGTTTGTATAGCATTTGCTATTGCCCATTGTTCGACCTGTGGGGGTTAGAGTAACGAACTTATCTACTAGGCCCGAGGAGAACAGGTGGTGTAGAACAAATACTTCTCCCCCAATTCTCCTGACTTCCAGAGAATACAGACCGAGCTCCTCTATACGGTCGGGATTGGGTGGGTGTTGCATTCCAACAACCCCTTTTCGTTGCCGCTAGTTGAAGTCGTTCAAGAGCACCACATACACGGATCAGGCCGAAATGAACAACTAGACTACCATATTTTAGAAGAGGACAGATATAGGTACCGGAAATGAGTGGAAAATCCTTTTTGGTGATGTGAAGGAAAGACCTTCGAAAAGGGTGAAGAACACGAAAGGTAGATTTGCTGACTAACTGGTTATGGTTTGAAAAAGAGAGGTTACTATTTAACCAGGATCTAGGATCTTGTGTAAGTTGGTATGCATGAAACCAGACAGAAGGGGAATTTCTAAAGTCATGCCTACACACTTGTCATCGTTGATAGGTAGATTCCATTCAACGGACTGGAATTTTACAGCATCACTAGATGCCTGTAGTGTGCACGTATCTGCGATCCAGATATTGACATCGTCTGCATCTATAGCTACATTTACAGGTTATGCACTAGGTAGATCGTTATTATAGATAAGGAAGGGACGAGGACCGAGAACAGAACCACGAAGGACACCGGTTGTAATAGAACCAAGTCCGGAAAGTGTGCCGTTAACCCTCAGGGTAAACATGCGGTTAGAGAGAAAGCGACAAATGAGAGAAAGAAGAGGATAAGTGATTCCAAATGCCCCGAATTTATTTATAAGTGGGACATATGGGGCCTTGTCGAAGGCTTTAGTGGATGTGTACGAAGAAAAGGAGCAATCCATGAGTACGTTTTCCGTTCATATTTTCTTCACAATCAACTCTGACTCCAACTGTGGTATTTCTTTGTTTTACTTCTGTTTGTTTTACCGAGCACGGTTTTCCGCCCAGGCGTATATATAAGCTGGGTCCTGTTCAAACATAAGCAACACGTGTGACGCGCATTCGCTTTGCTACTGCATTTATTGCCTGCATTGTTTAGCGGCACCTTGGCACGATTCGGTACTATCTAGTACCACGATACGTCAATGAGTGTTTACGACTCCCACGAGTGTTTTTCTCTACCTCAGGCAACGAGACACTAGGAGGTCGCGCGCATATTGAGACTCGTATGCAAACTTACCCGCAGGCCGTAAACTCCGGTTAGCTTCAGATGTTTAGTGTCACTTCACTGACTATTGTTCAAAGGCCTACCAGCGGAAGTCGACCGACAGCAACGTCTATCCACTTATCCTTACACGAACTCGACAAACATACGAATAAACATGATGACAGACACGACTTCTGCCCCGCGGAAACCACTGATACTAATCCCGATGACCAGATCAGACCGAAACAACCCACGCGTGGCATTGGTGTGTTTAGCACCCCTGCGCACTGGCAACAAACTTTTATGACAACGGGGGAGACTATAACGATGTCAACATTCACTGTGCTTGACGGAACATTCCTACATTAACCAATCTACATCTCAGCCGCCATACTCATTACCATCCTCGTACAGTGAAGTTCACTTCACTGATCTCAGCCAAACACATGGGTGGATATGATGGATAGTGGTAACATGTAAGGCGAACAGGGATTATACCCATTTTGGAGTGGAAGAGCGAAACCCTGTGGTCAACACAGAATACGCAACCTAACTGTGCAGATACCGTTTCAAGACTTTCTGGCCTGATAAGAATTGACAAGAAAACCACTGATGTCAGTTAGTTACCATATCCTTTATTGTCTCCAACCATTTGCAGTCTTCCGAATCGGGAAGACGGGAGACACCTACTCTACCTAGTAGCTCTGTGAATTTCTTCATGCCTCGTTTTCACGTCATCTGTTGACTCCTGAGAGATTCTTTGTTTTCGGCGAACTTCACGTCTTGAAATAGTACATTGGTGCGAGTCTTATCTCAAGGGTCCCGGTTACGAGTGTTTTCCAGGGTCTCTTATGGTGCTGTGTCCCGGTGATCCGGGTACGGACAAGGCTCCACGGCGACGGATGTCGGATAATTAGATTGAGTTCGCGTCCCGTTTGTACAAGAACGTTACCTGAAGTGACGTAAGAGCGGGGAAGCGGGTGCGGTATCTGCATGCAGTGCAACAAATCGGAAAGTTCAGGAAAGAAACGAAGCATGACAACACCATGGGACGGGGAGACCTTACCTTCAGGAATTATACTCAGATACAGATCTAGATTCCTTTTGAAAGCTGATTTTGTGGGGACATTAACTAATTCTTGGGGGAAATTATTCCAAAGAGCAATGGCACTGTGGTTGAAAGAGCACTGACGAACTAGTGTACGGGCACGCGGTTTGAAGAGTTTCATGCTATGCCCATGAAAACTATCCATATAATTGCCCACAAAGAAGTCGTCGGCCCACCAGACGTGAAGAGATGGTACAGTAGGAAATTGCCACCTCTTATCCGGCGGGTTTCAAGGAGGTATAGATGCAAGACAGAAAGACGTGTGGGGTAAGGGGTAGGGGGACAAGCTATATACAAGTTTTGTCGCTCCTCGTTGTACCTGCTCGAGGGCCATACAGTCGCTCACCAAGCGGGATTGAGCAATTTGATTCTCCTATTTCAATAAGGGTCGAATGTACGTGCAATAGAGAACCTGAAAGTCATCTCTATCTATTCTGGGAACTGAGCGTTTTAGGAAGTTAAGAACACGGAAGGCGGATCTGCTGGCGTTTTGTTGGTGGTAAGAGAACAACAGTGACCTGGTCAGCCAGAAACCAAGAACCTTATTGTGTTCTACACTCTCCATGGTCGTGGAAGCGCTAGCCCTGAAGCTGTGTACAGGGATCTTCCCAAACGACTTAATAACGCATGTCCTCGTATATTGGAAGGTTCCAGACCGTAGACCAGTCTTTGACTGCATCCACTGCTGATTGAAAAGCCACAGGATCGGTGCCCCAAATTGTCACATCATCGTCGTACACGGTGACGTTGACTCTGATCCCGTGTGGCAGGTTATTAATATAAATAAAGAAGAGGGGATCAAGGACGGAACCTCGCGGGACTCCGGTAGAAATGGAAGAGTTAGATGAGAGTGATGAATTCATGCTGACCGAGAAGGTGCGGTTTGTGAGAAAGTCGCGAAGTAGGGCCAGTAGTCTGCCAGTGAGGCCGTATGACTCGAGTTTATGGAGTAAGAGAGCATGGGGGACCCGATAAAAGGCTTTTGCAAAGTCAATTAAAATCGCTTGGGGAATCAAGCCGTCATCATAGGCTTCAGTTAGACTGTCCATGACAGAGCATATTGGAGATGCCGGATCTCCGAGGGAGTAAACCGTGTTGAGTTTGAGAAAGCAGTTGATTGTCTGATAAGTGTTTCAGTATTGCTCTTTTTAAAACCCGTTCGAAGACCTTGCTGTGCACGTTAGTCAGCCTGATGGGTCTATAACTAGTTGGAGTGTGCCGGTTCCCTTTTCTAATTTGGGGGATATGATACCTCTCTTCCAGGATGAAGGGAATATTACAGCACCTGGACACTTTTGCAAGAGGGTGAAATAGCACGGGGCAAGGACCGAGGCGGCTTCTTTTAACACTCGAGAGTGTGTACCAACTGTTCCCATTAAACTAAAACGATTCAGTGATTTGGGGAGTGATTCGGTCTCCCCTGGAAGAATGATGAAATGTTATAATGGGAGAGGTGTATTAGGAGGGGAAGATTGGGGTGTGAAGAGACAGGAGGAAAGTTAAGGGCGGGTTCATAATGAGACCGGAAGATTTCGGCTCCCTGAGCAGAAGAGGTTACAGGAGAGCTAAAGGACTAGTGCAGAGGGGATTGATTGCCTCTGACGTCGGAGTGACTTGAAAACAAAGACTTAGGGCTGCCTCTAGCTCGAAGAAGAATTGCCTTCTTTTGTCTATTGTGGAATTTCCTAACTCTCCGCTTACATAAGATGCGGCTTCGCTTGAAGTCAACGGCAAAAGCGTCGAGCTTAGTACATTTTAGTCTAGTGAACGAACGCACTCGCTCCTTCATTAGGTGCTGGAAGGAGCGGAGTAGGAGAGGCCTATGGTCAGATACAGTTTGATCTCTAGGAATAAATAAGTGGTCCGCTTCGTGAATTGGACGCTCGAGCAACTCATTGAAGTTGTTCGGGTCAGTATCAATATTGCAGGAGTCCAGCTTTTTGATCAGGAATTCTCAAAAGAGAACGAAATCGGCCCCTTTGAAGGAACGTAGCATTCTGGAAGAGGGCCTGCAAGTTAGCCAGCGGATAATATAGT